TCTTATTAGCTGTCTTCAGAAAACTGACTGGGATTCTCCGCCCCCCCACAGCAAATATACGCTCAGAACCCAGGGTATTAGGGATGGTACCCAGTAAGACCATCGCTTTCCTACTGGACACTGGGGTGAGTTTTTCAGTTCTAACAGAAATTAGCAGTGCACTCCTCTCTTCCTCAGTCTCAGTAATCAGAATGAAAGGCATACCTGCCACTCCCAAGCAAACACCACCCCTCAGTTGTTCCTATGTTAACTCTTTCATTTTTAGTAATGCCCCAATGTCCCGTTCCTCTTTTAGGGCATGGTAGCTTACACAAATTTAATTTCTAAGATACACCCCAACCTTCTATTAGCACAGACACCTGATCCCTGTGTAAATCCCCATGAAACTTCACCAAATAATCCCATAATTTGGATACTGACATTCCTGTCATCTCCCATCACCACACTCCTATAAAATGTCATTAAAGGATCCTATGTGTCAAATCGCTGTCCCTCAATACCCCCTTAGTCCTGAGGATCTCCATGACCTCCAACTCATTGTTTCCCAATTCCTTGCAGCCCACATCCTCATACCTAACCATTCTCCACACAACACTCCTATTCTCCCACTACCAAAACCTGATGGGGCATATAGAGTCATCCAAGACCTCTGTCAGATTACTCAGGCTGTGTGTCCTACTTTTCTAGTAATTCCAAACCCCTACACTCTTCTGTCATGCATTTATTCCTCCACCACCCAAATCTCCTTCTTCTCACTCTCTTTACTCTTCATCCTGTTCTAACCAACCCTCATCCGTCATCAAGTCAACATTGAATAAACCTACCAGCCTCCCTCCTATACCAAGCTCCACCACAACACATAAATGATACTTCCTGGATTTGTTTAGCCTCTCTCTCATCACTTTTTCCAGTCACTTCAGCCTCCTTATGAACATGGCTTTCTCAAACCCCAAAAAGGTCCAATATTCTCTAAACAGATCATCACAAACATGCCAGAAGAAGCTGAAAACATCCTACAGGGTACAAACATTCATCCAAACCCTCCGGTACCCTACAGCATCCACCACAGGACCAACAGGAAAGGTCCAAAACAACAATGAGATATCATCTGCTTACTCAAACCCGCAGGTTACCACTAGAAGCAAGCCACAACTCCAACCTTGGCTACTCCATCTTCCTACAACCTTTAGGAGCAACCCATTTAGCAACTTCCCTGTCAGCATGGGAAAGATCAGTGCATGTGGACAGGCCCCAACATTTCTTAATTTTCCAAATCCAAGGATGTATTAAGCCTCACCAAGAAGTATTCTTCCTACGCAGAAAAAAACCTTTACATTTTCCTACCTACTAATTGGACTGGTGAATGAACTCTAGCATACATATCACCACCTGTAACCTATTTTTTTTTTGAAGATCAACCTATATTAGTCCCAATAAACACCTCCTTGAGCCGAAACATACATGCCTTGCAACTTACCCCCCTACTTGTCAGCCTAGGAATAGCAGCAGGTGTAGGAACTGGAGCAGCAGGAATTTCAGTCACCAGACTGCAAAGTCATTTGAACTGCAGGGTAGGTGGTTCAAACTCACCAGCTGCTCCTCGGAAACCCTACACAGGGTTCGTATATAGGCTGGACAGCACTTCACAACAACAACAACATCCTCCTCCCTAGGAGAAAGTTTTTATGAAATATCTCTACAACTATCCCAAATTCAAGATCAGACTGACACCCTAGCAGAAGCACTTCTCAAATCGAAGAGTCCTAGACTTACTAACAGCCAAAAAATGAGGCAGCTGCATATTTATCAATGAGGAATACTGTGTTTGTGTGTGAACAAATCAGGCCTAGTCCGAGATAGTATAAAGACAGCAAAAGAAAAAGCAGCAAGGCTGAATTCCAACAATTCTCCAAGCTCCTAGCCCACCCAAAATATCCTCCCTTGGTTATTACGCTTTGTAGGACCCCTTTGTAGGGCCATTACTCCTCCTTTGCCTGGGAGCTGTATTCCTGCCTTGTATAATAAATTCTTTCCAAAGATTTCTTGCAGGCCGATGCACTGCCATTGCAAAAGATCAGGTGGCAACCACTGTCCTGTTACAGACTCACCCCATGTACGCCCATAAATCAGCATGAAGCAGTCAGAGAGACACGTCTGCTCCTATCCCCCTAACACCAAGAGTCTGGAACGAAGGACCTTGTGCCTGATTAACAGAATGGCATTGAAACTACCCCCAATTGACACTGAATGGGGTCTGGCTGGAGCTTCTGATCTCCTAATCTCCTGGGAAGCTTGGGTCTTTGTTACACCTGGAGACCCTCCGGCCCCCTGAAATTCCAGGTTTCAGGAAAATCTCCATACACTCCCCCACCCCCGCCCATTGTAAACTCACCGGAACTATACCCAGACCACATGGCCTAGAAATACCCCAGTCTGTAAGGGAACAGATGGGCTCTTGGTCTCCTTTGGTGATGTAAGAGTACCCTCTCCCAGGTTTACTCTCAATAAACCTGCCTGCTGTTGAAGCCAAGACTCTACTCCTTTCATCTTTCTTTTCCTTACAGCCACCCATTTGTGTAATGTCCCTTACAGCAGTACTAACAAAAGCAGCTAATAGGCCTGTACCAGCTTCTTTGGGGTACATCCCAGGAAGGGGCTCACTGGAGTGCAGAGTGGGGTAAGGTGGGAGCAACCAGGACTGTTTTCATACATTCCTGATGTGCCCTCTGATGGGGAACTGAAACATCATCCCAATAGAGGAAAGGTAACACCGCAGGTCACCAACTGGGTTTCCTCCAGGAAAAGAGCTGGGCTGGCTTAAATTTCAAGGCTACCCCCTTCCACAGAGGAAGCTGTGCTTGACTGGCTTGCACCTGAGCCCACACTCCCCATCAGAGGAGCCTCTCATGCTGTCAAAGCCCCGTGTTTACATCTGATGTGGGTTATAGCTGGAAGCAGACACTCCTGTAAAATCAGACTTACCTTGTGTCTGGTAGCCCACCCTCAGGGCCTGTCCTGCAGTTTTCTGCCTTCTGTAAAGGCAACTTGTTAGTACAGGGGAGCTAAATCCCCAGAGGTAACTCCAACAAGTGCATTCCACATGGATAATTCTGGAACACTCTGAATATTTCTGAGGTTCATGCAGACAGAATTGAGTCCTACTGTCTTCTATAACACACCTTTATAATGGCTTCTCCTCCTTCCTTCTCACCTCGCTGCTTTAGCCTTACTCCTGTTTCTTGAGAAAGAAAGTCGACTTCCAGATAACGTATCTACAACCAAAGCTTGGTCTCTGGTTGCTTCTGAGTAGCTGTAGTACCAGATCTAATTTCAGGGAGGATGAGAAGGAGCACCAGCTCAACGCTGACTCCTATGAAGTATATGTCAGACATATGCCAGTCTCCCACCTTTTAACCCATCTGACACCAGCCATGCTCCCTCCTCATGGCACGCCATGTCTCTGCTGGCTTTGGTAATTCATTGCAATGGCTACACAGAACCTACAGAAAACCACATAAATCTTGCTACTTGGAAGTAACAGTAACCATCAATGTCAGGAAGCAGACATGTTCCCTCAAGTGAAAGAGCACATCCCTCTTTAGTACAGCTCCCTCTCTCCATAGCTTTAACAAAACTTTAGCTTCATAAAATGTCCAGAGGCACCCCACTCTGCCAGCAAATATCCTACATAAAATAATAAGTTGAGGCTAGCAAGATTTACTAGAAAAGTGGCTCGGAACTTGAGAACAGATCACATGAACCCATTTCTCAGTCTGAATACGCTAAAAATCAGTTCACTTCCGGAGGCAGGGAAAGGGCAAGGACTTAGCTCCTCCTTTGACATATTCTTTCCAAAAACATTACAATTTGAATCTGAATCTGACTGACCCTCTCATCTACCAATTTACAGTAGATGTTGATTCTAGTGGGACATGTCTGCCACCACCAAAAAGTCAAATCCAAAGCGTATGAAATTCTAGAGCAATAATGTAAGTCTTTTCAACAAATATATAACACGTAAACAGGAAACAGAAGAACTGTTAAATATTTCAAGAGACTTAACAGACATAACTAAATGCAATGTGTGATCTTGTTTGGATGCTGATTCAGACAAGCAAACAAAAAGACATTTACAATGACTGAAAATTAAAATTAAATTAAATTAAATAAGAATGAGATCAGTAACTCAGTTACTGTCACCTACGCGTATTGCCCTCCATTAGTGGAACGTACTTGCGTTTTCAGACGAGTTACTGCCTTACACAGGTCCCAAATTGCACAGTTGTTATCTGTATTGTTAATTTTTAGTTTGATAAAGGCACTACCTTATTTTTAATTTATTTTCTCTGGGTGGGACACTTGTTACAAAGAAACTTCTAAACCCACACATCTGTCTTTCATGAAAAGACAGGCTTTATTCCAAAGCAACCTGAAAAAAACAGTCACAGGCACCACCGCTGGCAGAAGAGGGAACAGTTATTTGTCCCTTTGGCAGGGTCTCAGTCAGGAGTCTCCCCAATCCCTGCTACTTGCCCAATACCTACCCAGTTTCCTTTTTAGGTTGAAACGAAAATGGTAGGCTTAGTGGTGCACTCCGGGAAGAGGACACCCTGGGTCACACTGACTAACACACCACCGTTGTTGAGTCGATTTGAACTGCTAGCAGCCCTTTAGAACAGAGCCAAGTCTGCTTCCTAGGGTTTCCGAGGCCGTAAATCTGTACGGAAGTAGACTGACATGTCTTTCTCCTGCGGAGCTGCTAGTGAGCTTGAATCACTGAACTTTCAGTTAGTAGTCTGACACTTTTCCCACTGCGTCATCCAGTCAATACTAAAGGATACAGCTAATTAAACATGAGTGTTGAGGATAACATTAACTTGGTAGCTTTCTTTACACAGGTTCCATTCATGCTGGAAGCAGCTCAGTTGGTAGTAATCCTGTCTCCGTTTTGTAGGAGGTATGTTATAGTCAATTACTTCCCACAACAGTCAACTGGAAGATTATTCCACTGGTTGTGCAGCACCGGTTGGGCTGGCATCTGCAATAGTAGCCAAATAAATGAGATTTCTGTGTAACACATGCTGGTACCTGTGGATGAAAAGCAGGCAGAAATGAGCAGTTTGTTTTTACTCATGTATTACCATGGACAAAAGGCATCCCTGGATGGTGCAACTAGTTAAGCATCTGGCTATGAGATTCTATAGCCAAATACAGCCAGAGACGCCACAAAAGGAAGGCCTAGCAGCCTACTTCTGAAAAATCTGCCATGATTCTGATACACATGAGTATGTCTTGAGTCAGAATCAACTTGACAGCAGGTGGTTTTGGTTTTAGTTTTGACTCATGAATGAAACACTGGAAAAGAACTTACATCATCTACTAGGTCAGTGTCAACAACCTTTTGTTTAATACATAGAGGAAAAGATGTCCAAAATCTCACTCAATCTCATTTATTATGTCCACATCTAGCACCCTAGTCCAAATCGCTGCAATAGACTAAATGGTCTCCCTGCTCTACCTCTGAGCTCCTACTATATGTTCCACACAGCATCCTGCACGATCATCCTAGAATGTAAGTCAGGATCATGACACTTCTCTGTTCAAAACCCTCCAACAGCTCCCATCTCACTCAGGTTAAAGCCATAGCATGGCCTACAAGGTCTACATGACCAGGGCCTCCCATTACCTTTCTGTTATCAGTTCCTACCACTTCTCATTGCTATTGTGAGAGTTTGGATCATAGCGGCCTCCCGGCTGTGACTTGAAGGTATCCAGCATGCTCTTGCCATGGGGCCTTTCCACCTGTTGCTCTGCAGGGCTGGAGCCTTGCTCATCTCAGGTCTCAAAAGTTACCATATCAGTCAGAGACACCATGTAAAAATAAGCAACTCCTTACCTTCCTTGCTTTATTTATTTATTTTTTTGCAGAGTTTTATGCACAGCCTTTATAACATGAAATGAATTAGCAAATTTTAAACAAGAAAATCATACATGCTCAGAATTAAGATGGTGCTTTCATATTTATTACCAACATATATGGTCATAATTACTGTTGTCATTAAGTGCTGTCAAGTGAGTTCCAACTCACAGTGACCCAGAATACAGTTTTCAAGCAGCTACTGGTGAATATGAACCGCTGAATTTGGGGTTCAAAGCAACCTTGGGGTCCTGCAATTACCCAACAGCATCGCAGGCAATCATTTATTTAGTGTTTAGAATACAAAGTGCTGATCTATTGGTAAACAACTTAGCACTTAACCACTGCACCACCAGGGTTCCTTAGGAAGATGTGGTGTGGTGTGTGCCAGCTCATGTGAGGCTATAAATGGTTTAGGGAACAGCAAGCCTTTCTCCCAGGTAGAGGCTGGAGGGCTCACACTGCAGACCTTGTGATCCACAGCCCAGTGTTTATCTTATGGAGCCACAGTGTTCTCCTTGTAGAAAGACAGAAGGAGTCTAATACAAAGGTCAAATCCAGCATGCTGCCTGTTTCTATACAGCCTGTGAAAAGAATGGTTTCTTGTATTTCAAATAGTTGCACAAAACTTAAAAGAAGAATAGAATTTCATGACAAGTAAATAATATATGAAATCTAGAATCTAGTGTCTATAAATAGCTCTTTGGAAGGCAATCATACTCAGTCTTCTGCATATTGTTTGTGGAGACATTTGTCCTCCTGAGGCAAGCACAGGCTGACTGGTACTGGCAGAGGGCAAACACAGGACCTCTGGTGCTTTCCAGGGACAAGCAGGGACCGTGGTTACTGCCGGAGTCAAACACAGACCCCAGTGATTGTTGAGTATACACACGGACCTCCGTACGTTATCCAGGGGCACACAGGGTCTACTGCTTGCTGAGTTAAAAAAAAAACACCGCAGTTTGTGTTTTCGAGAGGAAAACGCAGGATTCCTGGGGTGTGCTAAGAATATGCACTGAACAGAATTGCTTGCTTGGTTCCCGTGTTGCTGGCACAGGTTTGTGGTCTGTGACAGGTACTGTGGTTTCCCTGATACTTACTGGGGGCATGCACCAACCTCATGCTGATTTCTGAGGGCAACCCGTGTATTTGTGGTCCTTGTCAGGCCTCGCTTTACTCTAATGCCTAAACCATGGAATCAATTCAGATTCAGGTTGTCCCTACAGGACACAGTAGAAGTGCTCCCATGGTTTCCAAAGCTCTAAATCTTTACAGGGAGTCCTGGTGTGGCACTGTGGGGTAATGTGCGGGACTGCAAAAGGTTTGAACCACAAGATCGGTGGTTCAAGCTCAACAGCCGCTCCTCAGAAACCCTACACAGAGTTGCTATGGGATGGAACTGACTCTATGGCACTTAACAACAAAATCTTTACAGAAGCCGACAGCTTCTGAAGAGACCTGAACCACCAACCTTGTGGTAGGCAGCCCAACACTACACAACACCATCAGGGTTCCACTCTTATTTCTAGCACTTATTATGTGCCAAAAAAATACAGCTTATTCCCTTTAGCTTCTAAAGGTTAGAAAGTAAGCACCATGAGAGCAGAGCTGGTATATTTTGCAAAATTCTTAAGTACCTGAAGTAGTATCTCAGTGGTACTTTTGAGAAAACTTAAAAGGACAAGATAGAAGAACAAACAAGATGGTGGACCGGATGGAAGTGCAGTAAAGGAGCTCCGCCAGTAACAACACAGAATACCCGACCAAGCAGGCTCAGGAGATGGTCCCAGAACTCTGAACCACATACAAAGGAATACTTAGAAGGTTGGAAGGCTCACAGCTGGGGAATTTGTGGCAGAAGCAAGAAATCCATTGCTTTCTAATTCAAGACGCTCAGCTGCTCCAGGAACCGCCATCTTGGGTGAGACCACGCGGGGGAAGGATCGGAGCGGCCACAGATGCCTGGCAGAACCACTGAGATAAAGATGTGGACATTCTTCTCTTTTGGTAGCTGTTCATTGGTCCCTTGCTGTCTGCGCACCTCCATTTGGGTGACTGTAGGGGTGCCTGAGCTAGTGGACACCCTAGCCCCACCCTCGGAGG